CTGAATCGAAAACATTTGATACATGAATGGATTATACGTTTGGTTGTGTTTTTTCTATTTAGAAACCAATACTGTGTACGAACTTGGTACTGGGTGTTCTGAACTCCTGCATGTAACGAGATCTCGTGTTCGTGCTTGATAATCAGATCCGTGACGTGACTCTTTTTTGGCAACAGTATTGGATGCTTGCTATCATACGCTAGGTGAGAATTAACAATTCTGCCTCCAACCCGTAGGATGCCGTTATGGTCGAAAAATGGGTTTAATGTTTTCAACGGGCTCTTGTTGTCGACCTTCTGAATTTTTATTAAATCGTGAATTTCTTTCGCGAACGCTTGATTCTGGATAAATTTGATGACTCGAATTTTTGCCTCTTGAATTTCATTTTCACTGAGGTGCCCTAATCTTTTGGGTTTTGCGCTACAATTCATTGCGAAACGTAAACAATGTGCTATAAACCGTATTAGTCTAGTAATTGACGAGAATCTCGATAACAGCGAATTGTCTATTAGCGTTGTTTTTAAAACTGTGATTTTGCGCACTTCAAGCAGTGGCAATTTTTGAATGGGTACAATAGGCCAATTGTCCTGGGGATGGTTCAACCAGTCAGAGCCGTTTCTCCACGTAAAATTATCAATGAATTCTGATACTGATTGTCCTCTGGACACTGCGTCTGCAGGGTTATCCCGTGTTGGTACATGATACCATTGAGATTCGTTAGTGATAGTTCTTATTTGCGAGACTCTATTTGCTACGAACGTTTTTAAAATATGTGGCTGAGTATTTATCCAATTGAGGGTGATAGTTGAATCAGACCAGAAGTAAACATTATCGAAATTAATAGGTAGAACTCTCGACACGGTTTTATATAGCTTAGCTAAAAGTACAGCTGCACAAAGTTCAAGTCTTGGAATTGTAATTTTCGAATTCAACGGAGCTACTTTAGACTTTGAACAGATTAGTCGTGTGAGGCATTTGCCATGTTTATCTGTAGATCGGATGTAGATGCAGGCGCCGTACGCGACCTCGCTGGCGTCGCAGAAACCGTGTAACTGTCTATTCACTGACTCTGGGATTACAATACATCTTTCGAAGGAAATATTCGATAAAAGTGGTAACTGTTTTTTGTAATCTAACCACGCGGTATGAATATTGAGTGGGAGGGTTTCGTCCCAGTCCACTTTTGCTTTCCACAAAGCTTGCATAATAAGTTTAGCTTTGACTATTATTGGGCCTAACAACCCTATCGGATCGAATAACTGCGCGATGTTTGACAGAATTGTTCGTTTTGTAGTTTTCTCCTGAGCACTGAGTTCGGCCTTTAACGAATAAGATAATTCGTCTAATTGCGAATTCCATTTAATCCCTAATGTTTTGACTGCCTTTTCTGGATCTGAGAATAAATGGACGTTTGCTAAGTCGTTAGACAACGGTTCAATCAGTCGGTTATCATTTGAAGCCCATTTTCGCAAATTGAAACCGCCTGATTTTAACAAAGAATTTAATTCATCACGTAACCTTCCGGCGTTTTCTAAAGTATCACTACCTGTTAATAGGTCATCTACGTAAAAATCGCGTTTCACTACGTCGGCTGCCGTAGGATAATTGTGTTTCTCGTCATCTGCAAGTTTATGTAACGTGCGAATAGCTAAAAACGGTGCACAGCTCGTGCCAAAAGTTAACGTGTTGAGTTGATACACTTCTAAAGGTTCGTTCGGATCTTCTCGCCAAAAAATTTGTTGGTATTTTCTATCGTCTTCGTGAACTAGCACTTGCCGATACATTTTTTCTATGTCGGCTATTAACGCGAATTGATGAATACGGAAACGAATTAAAATTTCAAAAATGTCATTTTGTATTGTCGGTCCCGTCATTAAAGTTTGATTGAATGTGACCCTTTCCGATTTATTCTGGTCACCGATTTGACCGTATTCGTCCTCCTCATCTTCTGGAGTAACGGATGCGTTGAAAACAGGTCTATATTGAGTAGTCGTACTGTCTAACTTGACTACTGCATGATGTGGCATGTAATTGTCTCGCGTATCAGGATTTCGAACTTTCGACATGTGTCTTAAATCTATATACTCTTTCATCGAGTTGACGTACGGAAGCTTTATTTCTGGATGTTTAGCGAATCGACGTTCTAACGCGAAGAATTGTCGGCGCGCAATGTTGTATGTGATCCCGAGCTTGTCCCTTTTATCATTAAAGGGTAATCTTACTACGTATCTGCCTGTTTCGTTACGGTATACGTTGTCTAGAAAATGTTGCTCGACTTCAGCTTCTGAGGAGGACATGAATTTGGTTTCTGGAATTTCTTCTAATTCCCAAAATCTGGAAATGTCATGGTGTATCGACTTGATAGATAAATTGCAAGAAATGGTTCGAACACTTGATTCATCCTCCGTTATTTTACCTGCGACTACCCACCCAAATCTAGTTTTTTGCAATACGGCGTTTTGATTTTGAATTTCGATTTGTTTTGCGCAAAGTATCTGGTAGAATAATTCTGCGCCTAATAACGCATCGATCTCAGAGGACTTGTAAAACGTTGGATCTGCGAGCGGTAAATTTCTCGGAATATTTAAGCCCTTTGAATTAATTTGTTGTGCGGGTAAAGGTGTCGAAACGCTAGGCANGATTAGGATGGCATGAATCTACTGGTTGTCCTAAAGCTTTAAGCGCGCGCGCATGCTTATTTATATTATCAAGAATTTGTCGAACGTTTGTTGCACTCTCGCGCGTAAGAATAGGCTGGTCAAATAACGCTTTTAAATGACTTTGTACGATGACTCGTTTGTTATCATACCTTTCAATTAAAAGATCCCAAGCAATAGCATATTTATCTTCTGTAGTTTCGAGCGATTGAGTCACAGTCGCAGCCTCGTCTTTCAAACACGAACGCAAGTAATGAAGTTTCTCGATTTTTGAGATGTGAATTTTATTATGTACCATGGATTTGAAAGTATCAAAAAAACACATCCATTGATCGTATGCTCCATTGAAAGTTGGCAATTCAATCTTTGGAAGACGTACATTAGACCGATCAACTGCTGTCGCTGTCCCGTTAATGACAGTAATATCTCGCTCTTCTCTATCTGAGATAGCAGAGTGAACTCTAAGGAAATGACGTGCTTTTCGCAAGAGATTGTAATAATTGTCTTCGAATTCATCTCGATATTTATCGTTTTCGGGAGATGTTTCCACCAACTCAATTTCTATTTGAATGTCTTCAAATTCGGCTAAATGTCCAGTTATTTGATTTAATCGAAAACTAGCTTCATCGTAACAATCGGCTGTAGTTCCGTTCTCAAGAAACGCACCAAAAAGTGTAAGGTGACGCTTTAAATTACCGCGTTTTT